GTGGATGGAAGCCCGAGATGGGTGAGAAACCGATGGACAGGAGCAATTCCGGAGGGAAGACGAAGAAAGGAAACAAAAACCCAGGGAGGACGATGCTGCGAGGTCACGGGGGAGGGTGGTGAGGCTAGATCGGGGCGATGTGATTGGTGGATAAGGTGGACCTACAGTATGAGGAGGCTCAGTCAGGTCAGCCAGATAACCTCAAACTCTAATGGACTGTGGGGTAAAAAAGAGTTGACATTTCAGCGACTGTGAGAACTGTGATGTGTTTCTACAGGTTTTCTCAACAGATGTGCTGATTTCAGTTACCCTTTGCCCAATTTGTAAGGGGCCCCTCAGAAAACGGTCTCCAGTGGCTGTGGTGCAAAGGTTTCAAGAAAAGAAGTCAGGAAGGAAAAGGAAGAACGCAGCATATAGATGCAAATAAGAAATAGGGTATCCTAAACCACACATACATGAATATTGAATAGATATGATCATTGTTTCGCCGTACTGATAGCCTGTACCCTCTCTAATTCTATCATGCCTAAAATAGCCTGCAGCTCTTCGTTCCCCGGCACAGCCACGCCTGAATTCCAAAATTAAAAATGATAATATGCCCATTAAAACGATCCTTATATAGACGAACAATATATAAAGAATTAAAATATTACTAACCGTATATTTCACTTACCCCGCCCTCTTAAGTTCATGGGCCATTTTTGGTGGTGCATGACATGTAAATATATATCTCGGTTTCTATATTTACGTCCCTCCCCGCCAAACAAGGATGCTGTAGGTACACCGTTTTTCATGCAAGTTGCATAATTAATAGTATCGCTACTCCGGCAATGCCCATCACCGTATTTCGGGATTGGCTCGTCGACGCCGCCCGGTTGGGAGCAATGATATCATTTGCGTTCCCGAAGCCGCCAAAGGGGTCCTTTTTCGGGTCCTTGGTTTTAGTGGCAGACGGCTTTAAAGTCGTTTGCGTTGGCTCGGGATTGGACGTTGTTGTTGGGGGTGGTGGGGATAATGTCCGCGAATCGCTTGGGGTAGGAGACGAGAGGGTAGTTGTTGTTTCGCTAGTAGTGGTGAGATGTACAGTAAACGTTCGTGTTGTGACTGGCTCTTCCGTCTGTGTTTGCGTAGTTCCCGGATGCCTGGTATCTGTCGCAGGAGGAGTATTTGAGGGAAGGGCTGAAGTGAGATTCTGATCTTGCCCCTCTCCAGCAGCGGGGCAAAGGGTCTGTATACCCAGCCCCTGAAAAAATAGCCCGATGAGGGTCGCTGATAGTGCCTGTGAGCCCACGCAATTTTTATTCAGCGAAACTGTAAGAAATTCCAGACTCTTAACACATGCTGCTGAGCAAGCGCCTGTTGAGAAATCGTCGACTGTGCAATTGCTAATCTCGGAAGTGTAGACTTCTGTACATGGAGGAGGGAAGGATTGTATTGGTTGAATGTCTTCTAGAGAAATGGCTGTAATTGTTGGTGTTTGGAAGGCGAAGAGAGCGCATGGTATCCAGTATTGTTTACGCATTGCGTAGCGTTAGGTGAAGAATAAGGCAAAAAAGTTTCGTTTGCGCAACGAATGTATTTCGCGCCTCTCTCGTTTCGAGCTTTGTTGAATTTCCCGCAGGTATCGCAAAAAGGTCGCTACGGCGGGTAGAAACCTTTGAAATGGCTATTCGCGCATCCTCACAGTACGAGCCGAGAGTTTCCTTTCAGCTCCTCTGTGCAAAGCGGGAGTGGATATAACAAAGAAAAAAGGCGCGATTCTTGGACTGTGGAAGGAGACTCTGTCGTCTTATCTTTGAAAGTGAGCATAAAGGAGTGTGAATGGTATAACAGGACTCTCGCAAAGGAGGGCCTGGAGTATCAAGGGGGATGAAGGAATTATTGAATCCCCAAGGCAAATAACTAGATATATTTCGAAGATGGAAAAGTACTGCGCTGTGTTGATATAACAATGACCATCACACCAGCGTAACTGGGAAGCTTCGTGTGGGCTTTTTAACCCTCGAAAAGAAGAAAGCAAACGAGAAAGAAGCATGGAGAACGATAACTCTCAAACTTCGTCTGGCCCAAGATCCCAACCATACTATTTGATAAACTGAAACTGACATGACCAGACAATCGCATAGTGGGGAGGTTCAGGGCCAAAGACAACCTCAAACATTTGACGTTTCTGAATTCCACACCAGCGCTAATAGGAAGAATCCAGCCGGAAACAGGGCACATCAATAGAATATCCCAAAATAAGGGCTTCCCGGATTGCTCTCGTCATGTCATGGCCGAGATGGCCGAGACTAAGGGGTAACACACGCTGGACGATGCAAAAGGCCTGTCCATTGCTGCAAATATCTCGCCCGCCAACCGAGAGCAAGCTTGCCCTTGTGTGAGCCCAGGTCCTTTTTCCGTCCGTCCAGCAAAAGTGGCCGAAATCCACCACATATATTCCCACAGTTCTTTTTTGGGATGGTAATTCTGAAACGCAGCAAACCTCTGGGTCGATTAACTAGCGCTAAATTCACGCTTGGGCCTTGGCCGCAGTTAAGCGCTGGAGTTGGTGTGGCGATAAGTCTGGGATAACTACCGCATGATTCCTCTTTTATAGGTGCAAGGATTCGATGATATATATATCAAGCTACGAACTTCACATCATAAACAATAGACTGCCACAGCCCAAAAGAGGCCACCCAAAGACATGATAGTGCTAATTATTGAAGTACACAACTGGCCCAAAATTTAAACCCTTCACTAGAAACTCAATTTTACGATTCAAATTCTTTTAGTTCAGTCTTCTTACTCAATTAGTGCAATCTTGGGAAGTTTCAAAGTCGGCCAATCGAGGTGACAGCAATGGTTGATGAGCAGGCCATCTCCTGAGTGGAAACCTACGGCCCCAAAGATTGTCAATCCCTACAACGCAGATCCGTGCCTCTACTGAGGAATCGGTGGAAGAGCGTTTGTATAAGACGTGTTGGGACTTGCAAAGCTGTGGATCTACGCAACTGTGGATCTACACAACTGTGGATCTACTACGAGACTACGGAGTACACGTCGGCTGACCCCTCAGGTGAGTGAGCTGAACTACACTAAGTTGTTAGTGGGTACTACTAGGTACGGCTACCCTATCACGTGCCCCCCAACATAAAGGTTGTATTGCTCTCGCGTAATCTGCAGTTAGTTTAATCTGTAGAAATAATAACGAATGTTATCCTCCTACAGATTATGGCCCTTATAAGCTACAAAAAGAGCTGTGAAATAATGTGCTAACTACATCTCCATGCATTGTTAAAAGCATTTGAATGATTTGAACGTTGATTTGATGTTATTTGAATGATTATAGAAAAACGTGGATAGAATGGCTATTTTTGCGGTGTTTTGCTACTAATATTCAGGGTGGCTGGGCAGATTCCTGTTATCGCAAGCAATTCGATCGCCACAATATCGGTGCTGGTGGCAGGCAAAGTGCAGCCCTCGTCCTTGTGAACGACGATTTGGCGAAGAAGATTAAAGATAAACACGTTTTGGAATATAATAGAGGCATCGAGCCTGTCTTCGGTAAGATATTTATTATTGAAAATACTCCACGTTTAGTAATCCCAACTAATCCCTTTCTACCCCAGTAGATAGCCTCTACGATCCTCAAAAAGGTACAAAAAGGTACCAGGAAACTGGCTGACTCGTATAATAAACTTAAAGACCCGCGCGTCCCGAATCACTCCCAGACGACAAACAGCCAATCAAATATCGTTTTGAGCTTGGGAATTTCCCAACCCCACATCTAACTGATAGAGGGGATATTGACAAAGATAGGTACGATTTCAGTACCTGGAAGTACGGCTTTCCCGGGGACAACTCTCAAACACCAAACTGCATCCAGTCAGGGCGGAGCCGAGACTAAGTCTGCCAAATTCTTTTCAACTTTGTAAGAGGCCTATACATGCAACCAACTTTTGGAACCCCCCAATAATTGAAAGCGAGAAAGCCATTCCCATTGGGACTCATTTATAAGGAGCCGGATATCTTTCTGCACATTTGCAAACGCCATCCCGTCTGAAGCTGCAAGAGAATGCTCCTATCCATTTATCAGGCTTGAGTTGAAGGCCTTGTCAAAGGCCTAGTATCCATTTACGCTCTGGCAAACTAGGGATAAGTGATATAAAAGGACGGCGAGAAGCAGTCGGATAAAATAGCAAGAGTACTTGAGTTAGAAGAAGAAAAAAGTGATCTTCGATTCCCGTCCCGCTTAAACCCCTTAAAGTTACCCAAAAAAAAAAAAAAAAAAGGGAAGCTTAATAATAAACCGTCAGGTCGGTCCAAGCACAAGTCGGAAAGCAAAGGGGAGGCAAAGAAAGCCGAGTGGTGGAATTGGATTGAATATGAGAGGGCGCCCGCAAGCAAGATACAGACCTGTGACTTGATAGAGGCGAGGTGAGGAATAAGGAGAGCAGGGTGGAGAAAAAGAACAGAAGCATTATCTCCGAAGGAGAAGGCATCAGTAAATGAACGGGAACAAACAGGGCCAACAATGGCTTGCGAATAGGTCGAAATGGACTGTAATCGAGAGTGAAAAGGAAGGAAGGGAAATGACATGCAAAGGGAAAGAGAGGAAAGATATAGGTGAAAATGGATGGATGATATCCATGGGTACTTGGGGTTTGTGTTTGAATGCAACAGAATAGAGAAAGGAAGTGAACAAAGAAAAGGAACGGTGGCAGTGATATGCTCGGTCATGTTGTGGGCGTAGCGTGAAATAACAAAGGGAATCGAAGCGGCTGGCGATGAGGTAGGTAGTGAGGGGCTGGTTGTGAAATGGCGAGTGATTGGTAGGGAATGAAGTGGAAAAATACGGATCGATAGATAGCATTGCCAGAATCTCACACTCTGAAGTATTTTTCGAACCCCCGCTTTTTTTGAGCTGACTGAAGGAAATTTAGGAAGGAATGAGAGTAAATAGATTGAAACAAGAGTGGAGGTCAGTCAATTTTATAAAAGCAGCGGACGAAAATGAAGAAGATATCTGAGCTGAAAAAAAAGGAACAACCGTCGTCAACACCGATGTGTTTAAGGATCGTTGATCTTCAAATATCGAATGTTTGTGGTTTTATGTAAATTTCAACTAAGTGCCTTTGCCTCATTTGATCGTAATTTTCGTTAATCGCCAGCTTTTCACTTTGGTTTTGTATCTTGTTTTTTGATTGGGATGTTCAAGAAGTTCTTTTTCAGCTCCACATTGACGCTCAGCAAATCAAGTTAGTGGAAAGGATGATGTGTATATATAACTTCTGAGATGGCGTAGAGTGGTCAAGAGACATTTTATGCGTGAAAATGGTACCAAATTCTGGAACGGAACATGCTTGGCGTAGGCGGGCGGATACTTCGGATGTACATGGATAGGGTTTGGCGAGCTTTGTGGAGGAAGAAAGTGCGAAGTGGCGGCAATCGCCTATTTCGCCATAGACGCTCTCAACTTCCGAGCCACCCAGCCGGTTAACAGCTCATCGAGCCGAATTGACATTTCATTAAGCCCCTTGCTCTCTTCCTTGAATAGACCTCCAGTTATCGGATGATCGGGGTCTGCCGTTCCCACATTAGACTTGTCATGGACAATGATGAGGAGATCCCGGATATCGGTGTCATCATCAAGATAAGAACGGAGGCTAGCCTCGCTCCAAGTTGGTGTGTTGGTTGACGGAGTCGGAGCGCTGTTGCTTTCTAGCTTGTCGTCTGGCTGTTCAACAAGCTCGGGAGAAGACGGTGTTGGGGAGGGTGATGGATTGTGTGGCTCATCAATTGACGAAGTATCTGTTGTCAAATCCGGAGGAGTATTACGGCTTCGCTCCTCTGGAGATGGTATGTTAACCGGAGAATCCGCAGATTCATCCGTTTCCTCAGGCATAGACGCGGATCGAACAGTTTCCTTGCTCGGGGTGCTTTGGATACCGGGTGATGGCGTTTTTGAAACGTCAACAGGAGAAACCGACGTGTTAAGAGAAATGGTTTTCAACCGGAGATCCGAATTCGGATCAATTTGGTCTCGAGAAGTAGAATCTGCCGGCTTTATGCGAGTTGCTTCTGGAGATCTGACACGAAGAGGTTGTGGTACATCAGATTGTGCGTCGGGTGGAACTACCCGTACTGAAGTACCGGAAATATCCTTCACTGGCGATGCTCTGGAAGTGGAGTCATTGCTGAGTCCTTGCTGGGCGATTGTTTGCATGCTGTCAACTTTAACAGGAGAACCATCGGGTGGCGTTTTCTGCAGTTTGCTTGGATGTCGTTGGAATGCGTTCTGGGATTTTGAAGACGAGCGTTCTTCTTTCGGCGATTCACTAACTGTCTTCGGAGGTGTTGTCGAGCGTGTCGATTCTTCAGAGATCTTCTCTGGCTCTTCCATATCATCATCAATGGTTTTACTTTTCTTGTCTTTCCTCTTGAATAAGCCGCTAAGCATGCCTGGTTTTTTCTCCTTTCGTTTTTTGTCATCTTTGGCTTTATCTCCCGAGGGGATGATTTTATCAAAGGCGTCAAAACTTCCACGTCCTTTTGACTAAAAGAACCGAAATCAAACTGATCAGAAAAAATGTGATATACATATAAAAGCCCAGAGGGGATTGGATCAATACCTCTTTGGACTCATTTGTGGCTGCAGTTCTATCATTCGAATCATCACGTAGGAGGTTTGGAGTCAGTGATATCTTTTTGGTCTCGAGGCTATCATCCTTGAAGAACGAATCTGTGTTCCGCACCACACCGTTGCGGGACCTGCCAGCAGGACTGTCGTCTGTTTCTCGATTTAGTTAGGTGGGATAAATTCATTAGGGGGAAGTAGTTGTGTTCACCTAATTTGTCCAATGAATCCTCGCTTGCCCGAACCCTCTCAGGACTACTATCTCGGCCGGGCTCAGCTTCATGTGCGTTTGAACCGTCATTATCTGTTTGTACTTTGGGCCGAAGAGGCTCGACAACGATGTTTTCATTTTGGGCTTCTTCTCGTCCAGCATTCGTGTCTGATTTAACATTTTCATCATCATTGTCGTTGTCAAAGAATGGGTCGTCTGCTTCGTCCTCTTCTTCGGTAGAATACTCGACATCTGATGGTTCATGGTAAACCGGAGAAGAGGTGAAAGTGACGGTTTTTGCGTTCCTCCTTCGCATGGCCTTTTTCAGTGGGTTCTTTGATTTTTCTGCATTATCCCCCAACATTGTAGCAGAGAGCTAGATATGAAGTTAGTACCAATTGGCAATAGGGATGACGCCAGATGCGTACATCAATATTTCTATGCTTGTTCAAACGCGCCAGGCGTTCTGTTGGGGTCTCGATATGTTCAGCGGGCAGATAACCTGAAACTGTTAGTAGCGACATCAGGGAATCTACGGATGTGATGAGCCAACCTATGCTACCATCCTTCACAACCCTAACAAGCCACCAGTAGCTATTACTGTCGTCCAGAAGGACCATTGTATCACCCTTCGTGGCATTCGCCTGCCCTTCGACAGTGGCTACGAAAGTATGTAGAGCGTAGACAAATTCGAAATCAATATCTTCTATATTCGTGTAAGTCATTTGATCTCCATCAGCAAAGAGGGAAACTGAAAGAAAATAGGGAGGGGAATGCAGATGAAAGAGATTGACACGTGGGATAGCCATTAACTAGGAGCGGTGTTGAAAGAGGGGTCATACGAAATACACCCCTAGTTTATGGTGAAGTGGATATGATTCGCATTTGTTGAGTATGGAAGCAGTTGTCGATTTTTGGGAGAAGCGTAGAGTATGACCATACCTAACCCTAATCCCCGTCCCGAGTGACCATGCGCCGTTCCCGACGCAAGGGCGTCTCGCTGAGGCTTTTAGGACTCGTGCATTTCATGCTATGACCCCAGACCGTGATATGAATAATGAAAACCAGGTAGGGCATACACAACAAGAAACAGCATGCAAAATAGGCAAAGCCAGGGCATAGACGAAACACATGAATGATAAAACGGGGTCTTTTTTTTAAGAAGCCAGCTTTGTGGCTGCCGAGTGAGAGCGCGTTGAAAGGAGATCACAGATCAAAGATAAAAAGAGGGGCACCCACCATCATCAATAGATGGAGAACTAGATATCTTATCCATCATATCATCATCCAGCTGGTCGTCGCTTTCGCCATCTGTAGTATCTCCTTCATCTGCCGACGTATGGCCGTTTGGATAGTGATCAACGCCGTCATGATGCGCCCCCTGGTCATGGCCATTCATTTCGTCTCCAGAGTCATCAGGGTGCCTGTGGTCTCCAGAGACCCTGGGGCTTTGAACCAACTCATCCCTGACCTCTTTCTCCGCATTTTGCATTGCAAGAGTTTGGTGGGGTGCTGTTCGATTTCCTTCTGACGAAGCTGGGTGGCTCTGGTTGTGTGTCTGGTCTTGATTGGATTGGAAACGGTTGCCCTGCAAGTCGATGGTATCTGATTGAAGAAAGAAAGGGGGAAAAATTGATCGTATTAATAAATGCTTATGAACTCAAGAAACAGGTAGCTAACCCCGATATGTTATTTTTTTGGATCCATCATTCAATGCTCACCTGCCCGGATTATCTGCGGTCTGGTCATTGTTTCGTGCGTGCGCACGTCAACAAAATAGCCTGTTCAAACAACACTTCGTAGAATAGGTAGAGGATGGAAAGGTAGCACGAGCATTTGCCTATACGGTCTTCCAAAAGGGATATGGATAGGTGCCAACGGAACAGTATATGCGCTTGAAACGTCGGGTGAAGGAGGGCAAGCTGAGCGAAAGGGGAGCAAGGGGAGCGGGGAAAGGTGGCAGCTCCTCACCAACCCCAGCAGAGACCAGACAACAGAGCGGAGAAGGGGATAAGAAGGGGATAAGGACGACAGGAGGGGAACGAGGAAAAAGACAAAGAAATGGCCATCCGCGAGAGACAACACACCGCGAGAGAACAGACAGAATCCCGGCCAACGTCTTTCAGGAGGTCCCTTAATTCCCATGGTGGCTTGGCGTTGGCCGGCTCCCAAACAAGCGCCGACGCCAGGCGGCTATCTCGCTTGTTGCCCCTGGCGGATTCCGCATGCCAAGCGTCTTATCTCCAGCCAACCACAGCGCGCACATTTCCACCTCAACAAGCGCACATCCTCACAAAAACATTTGCCGCCCACGTGACCTTATCGTGACTCCTTCGGGCTGCTTCTTCCTGCTTTGCCCGGAATAAAAGACCTTTCACTCCCCTCTCCCGCTACCTTGCTCACCACAACATCCGCCCTCCCGCTCGCCGTGCGTATCATCCCTGCGCCTGACTACCGGCTCACAGCTTTGTTTCTCTTGCCCGTCCATATCGACGTATCTTGTTCTGACCTTGCTGGGCATCTAATCACCGGTAACTCCAGTAACCTGCTGTTCAACCCAGTTAACATTTACCCTGTAGCTCGGTCGCTTCGTCTTGGAAGATCCACGCTGCATCCACGTCTTGACGTGCCGCCAACGGAGCACGGGTTCTATTCACACCAGTCTGTCTGGGTCGCGCTTTATTTTTGCAACTGGCCCAATTTAAAAGCACTTGCCTCCTCCCACGACTAGTGTCATTGCCGCCACCGCCACCGCCAGTGCTGCGCTTGCTCGACTCGTTCAACTTCTCAGTTGTCAAGAGTGAAGGTTCATCGGTAGCCGTTGCAATCACCTCGTCAAGGTGAGGGCATGGCTCATGAGGAGATCCGGAAGTTTGAGAATTTGACGTTAGACCCCAATTTTGCGAATACATCTGCGTTGACCGAAAATGGACATGGACGTGGAGATGTGCCAAACGCGAATGGCAGTGCTAGGCGAGTTCCTTCTGATACCGCTAAATCAAACCACCAACATACAAGGCCCCTAGAGGGAAGTGATGGTCCATTGAAGGACGCCCATGTCCCGACGCCTCCCATCCCTGTGCCTTGTCCTGAAGACCATCATTACAGAACGGGTGCGGCCGATGACCTGGAATATAACCATCACCCTCGTTATATCCATCCATCGCCACTCGAGCAGTTTGCCCGAAACGATCAACCTTCACTCAGCCACAATGCTGATTACTCGCTTGATCCTGGATGCCGGAACCAACTGGAAATCCCAGCAATCGATCTGAGGCACGGTGTCGACCCGTCTGTGGATAGCTTGTCTCATCAGGAACGCGACTCCGGAAGCTCCGCAAATGTGTTTCCTATCGGTTCACCTCCCCGGGACTTTTTCTCCAGACCAGTGGAGAGCTGTGGGGGTGACACTGAGCCTGTTGGGGAGCGCCCCACCTCTCTCACATCTCTATCCACTGCTTCCCCTGTCACTGATGAAGTGCGTACGCCTCCGGAAACAAACCGGGACATATTTTTGTCCCCATTTTCAGCTTCTCCAAGGGTCTACCGCCCTGTATCTTTGGATGATGCGACCGGTTGGTCTGGCCTTGTCCCTCAGCCATTTGGGAGTCGGTCAAAAGGCTATACTCTAGGCAGAGATGGCAGTTTGCGGCACAACATATGTCATGACTCCTGTCGCTCTACCTACTCAAGTGGTAAATCTCCAGCCAGCACGTTTCTGTCCCTATGGAGTCGTGATGAGGTTCCCCCGAAACCTGATGATGAGGGTCAAGTTGTAGGGACAGACTATGTGATCGGCAAGCAGATTGGTTTTGGAGGATTTAGCACAGTGAAGGAAGCATTTAAGGTTAATGGAGATGGTGGACCGGAACGGTTTGCTGTTAAAATTGTGAGGAAGCACCTCGCCGGCCAGAGCGAACGTGAAAATGATCAAGTCCAAGCCGAATTCGATCACGAAGTGCGCATTTGGCGATACCTAAACCACCCTAACATTTTGCCACTCGAAGCAGTTTACGAAACCGACTATGCTACATTTTGCTTCACAAAATTAACCACAAGGGGAACCTTGTTCGACCTGATCCGCAGACATCGCCAAGGCCTTCAAATGAACATTGCCCGAAACTATGCATATCAATTAGCGTCCGCTATTAGATACTTGCATGAGGATGCACGTGTTGTCCATCGAGATATTAAGCTTGAAAACTGTCTTCTAGATGCACCAGTTTCCAACCAATATGATGACGCAGCCCACTTAATCCTATGTGACTTTGGAATGGCGGAATGGATGACATCGGAAAACGGCGGTGGAAGCTCACCTGATCCGTACGACAATGCAGCAGATCGGCCACCTCCAAAAGCCATAGGCCCTTCTGACACAAGCACCAGTGTTGCTGGAAGCCTGGAATATGCCTCTCCGGAGCTGTTATCATCTGTGGGTGGACTTATTGATCCAATTGTGGATATCTGGGCGTTTGGAGTTGTTGTCTTTGCTCTGGTCGTGGGTTCTCGGCCTTTCCAAGACTCCTTTAAACCACGAATCAAACTCAATATTATGGGTGGTCGTTGGGATAGAAGTTCTGTCCTGAAAGGTCATGGTGATCTTCAGGATCGACGGAACGCATTGGAGTTAATCCAGGGCTGTTTGGATATGGATCCGACGAGGAGATGGACAATTCGGGAAGTGTTACAATGCCGTTGGTTTCAGGGATGTTCTGACAGCGCAGACCACGCTGGCGATACTCCGCAATGGGGATTTTAGGCCCTGCGTTCTATCCACTTTGATTGCGTCCGTTTTACTTGTGGTATTTTACGCCGGTTATGTAAGAAACTACCAAGGTCTGATGTAATCATACGGTGTTCAAGGCGGATTTTTCATTCATTCTGATTTTCATCCATGCACTTTATATCCCTTGTTGTGTTAGCGTTCGTATTTGATACCCGTGACTGTCATCTGCCAAATGGTTGTCGCATCTACCTATTATATACCTATCTGCACTCTTTTTTTTTTCTGACCTGGAAGGGGCCGGCCTTTTGTTCATTGACGGTTTAGGGAGTCTATTTACGATTGCATCCGATTGCATCCGAGTGTTATGCTGCCTTATGCCATCACGAATTTCCTTTCCCTTCTCCTCATTTTTTCTCTTCAACAGATCATGTCCACTTTTGCTTATGCATTGATGAAATTGAATCGCGCGCGGTTGGCTGGAATTTTGAGAAGTTTTTGTTTTCCGTTTCGGTTTCGAGTTATGGGTTTTTTTTATTCATTTTCTCATCCTACTCCTAATTAGTTTGTTCTCAGGGCCGTCACTGCCTCTCAAAACATCTCAGTTTTGTTGTGTGTATTACTGTCGAATCAACCCCAACTTCTCCCCAATTCTCTCATCATCGTTTTACCTTTCCCTTTATCCCCTTTCTTTTCCTAGGGAATGATAAAACTCCAACGCAAGAGTATTCCCACCGCACTCTGTCATTGTTCCCTGCCCATACCCAAAAGGCGTTCCGGCTTTTGGTCTAACGGGACAAACAGATCATGTGTCGTTATATGGCAAAATGCAGTTTCAAGGCTCTAAGGATGGTGCCGGGCAGTGGTTTATATCTGGAACCTTCCCGCTCAAGACGCGACCTTACCTCATCCGGACCTACCTCATCCTCCAACAGGGTCTATTCCCGCTTCTTGTTCTCTCTAGTGGTTTTCCTGTTCTTTGCGTTGTCGTTTTATTCGTGGTTTCTAGCGGGATTTGTGGCCCAATTCGCTTCTCCACCAGGCTCTGTTCTCGTCCTACGTCCCGTTTGAATTTGATTCTTTGCCTTTCCACAGATATTGCTAGATCCTTCTTTCCACTTTTTTTTTTTTTTTTTTTTTTTTGCGCGAGCTTTTTAGATTGCACTCTCTATGCTTCTGAGTTTTCTCTTCTTTTCTTTTCTTGTGTTTTTATATCCCATCAATGGCATTTTTGTACTTGGTTGGCGTTTTGTCAGAGTGGTGACCCCCTTCATTGATGAACCCGATAATGTTGATAATACGATGCAAGCGGACGTGTTAATAAAACATTTAGGGGAAAGGGACAAGGGGTTAACCTGTATGTTTAGTAATTAATTAGTGTTAGATTCCAAGAAGTGAAATTGCGAATTTAAAAACTTGTTATTAGGAAAGTTATTCTTTTAGTCTAATGGTAAAGTCCGATTCTACAACTGGTTTTGTTACCTCCAAACCTTATGAGATGAATCGCACGCTTTGAAAAGGTCAACTGGAAGCATTTCATTACTTATGCAAATCGTCAAGGTGGTTTTCAGCACGTCTCAAAAGGGAAAGGTAATGTTTTCTGCTCGCGGTTGAGCTGGTAGCGGAGCATAGAAGAAAATAGCCATATACACCTTACAGCTGAAGTAAGCCCTTGATCAAAACATATTTAATTTAAATAGACCATACGAGGGCATTTGTCTCTCTAATATACAATAATATCCAAACAAGATAAAACAGACTCAAATAGCTACATAAAACGCGGGAAGAAGAAACAGATATTTCTCCCTCGGGATTCCGGGTAGCATTCAAAAGCACCAATAAAGATAATAGAGTAAGTAGGAAAGGAGGAACAAGTCTGTGTCACCATTCTACCTTCCGTTTCTACCACAATCTATTGTCACTAGAAGGCATACCCTCCTTACCCTTCTTCTGTGCCTTGCCGGGTGCACTGAAGAACAAACTCGGCGTTTCCCCTTTCTGCACAAGATAACTCAAATAACCCCTATGAGCCGGATCACGATAATACTCAATATCCTTGCGGTTGGTCGGGTCCGGCAACCGATACGAGAACCCATCACCCTTGACACGGGGTTTATCAATCCCCATCCCAATCGTCAGAATATCGCCTGCATTGAGCCACGCGAGCGAGACGAATGGGTTCTGACTTGGCCGAAAAGGAAACCGCCTGGGA